GGTGGCTGAAACACTAAACCCACACTTACGTAGTGTTGTAAAGAAGGTCACAGGACTAGACAAATTCCCACTATGCTCTATTTAAGGCCAATGACTTGGACCTGACTCAAGGGTTCCTAAAAACAAAATAGTTCCTTTTATCCTGTTCTGAAATGTTTTTACTTCATAGTCACAGCCCCAGTCAGAACTATAAATTCTCCATAAAATTCCCGTGGCATGTTGTCAACTCTTGCAATACTTAACTTACTAGTAACAGGCTATACATCTCTACCATATAGAAATCTAATTAAGTTAGAAAGCCTTAAAGTTAGGGTAAATATTAATTAAAATTTACATAGTATTTATAATTATAAAGAAGTAATTCTTTATATTGTGAAGACATTTGTTATTGCTTATAAAATACTATTTGAACTTAAAATACATTTAAAGCTATTAGTTAAATAAAAGTTTTCCTTAAATTAACAGTAATATGTGCTTCAAACAAAAATGTTGTTGTTGTTGTTGTTTAGTGCCATCGAGTTAGTTCTAACCCATAGTGACTCTGTATAGGGTTTCTGACAAGTGACTAGTGAGCTTGAACTGATGACCTGGCAGTTCAAATGACTTTGCAGTCCAGCCATTACCCCACAGTGCCATACTAGGACTCCACTTAAGCAAAAATAGTGAAAATAAAATTGGATTATTGCAATTTTCAGTTACAACTGTAAAATTGAAAGTGGGAAAAAGATAAATAAATTTAAATGATTTTTCAAATTTTTAAATATATGCTTCAACATTATCTAGAGTAGGATTTTATCAGTCAGTATTATAACTTAGTACTTCTTTTCTGTACAATTTACATCTTTTATTTTATGCTATCTTTCTTCTTTATTATTGCCATTTTTGTTTTAATTGTAATTTACTTGGTATTATTACTGTTGGTGTACTAATTATTTAATTAATATTCAAAGGAAAAAATGAAGATAGGAAAAACTAAAAACACTCAAAATGTTTTTATAGAAAACGGTATTTTATAAAACTCAAAGTTTCTATCTTTTAGGTAATGAATATATTATTCTACAAATTATATATCCACCACACATTTTTTAACATTCTTATCCATATGCCTAAATTGTCTGTCAGATCACTCATCTGTCAGCTTGCCATACTGTGATGGCTTGCATGTTGCTGTGATTATGGAAGTGATGCCTCTGGTGGCAAGGTTTCAGCTGTTTCCAAACCACCAGACTAGGGAGAAGGAGAGACAGAATGTTTCCAAATATTTAGTCACTGAGGGCTTTATGATTAACAGTGAAACCCTGTCTGACCACACCAGAATATTAAATATTAAAACATGATGAAGAGGACCACTATATTGTCAGATATAGTGTCAGAAAAGGAACCCCTCAGGTTGGAAGGCACTCAAAATATGAGTGGGCAAGAACTGCGCTCTCAAAGTAAAGTTGACCATGGTTACACAAATGGAGTCAAGCTTTAAGGACCTTCATTTGCTGATGTGGCATACCTCAAAATGAGGAGAAAAAAGTTATAATATTCATTAATAATTGGAACTTGGGATGTAGATGTATGAATCTAGGAAAATTGGAAGTTGTAAAAATGAAACGGAACACATAAGCATTGATATTCTAGACATTGCTGTTGCTGTGTTGTTAAGTGCTATATAGTTGATTCTGACTCATAGTGACTCTTTATAGGGTCTCTGAGGAATGCTGGTGAGTTTAACTGCTGCTTTTGTGATTCAAATACCTTGTGATCTAGTGTCCTACAGGAACACACCAGGACTCCAACCAAAGCATTAGTGAGCTGATATGGACTTGTATTGGACATTTTGAATCTGACAATCATGTGTTTTATTACACCAGGAATGACAAACTGAAGAGAATTAGCATTACATTCGTCATCAAAAAGAACAACTGAAGATCCATCTTGAAGTACAGCACTGTCTATGATAGGATAATATCCATATGTCTCCAAGGAAGACCAGTTAATACAACTACTATTGAATTTAATGCACAAACCACTAAAGCTAGGGATAAAGAAATTAAAGAATTCTACCAAATTCTTCAGTCTGAAATTAATCAAACATACAATCAAGATGTATTGATATTTACTGGGGATTGGAATGCAAAGGTTGGAAACAAAGAGGAAGAATCTGTGGTTGGAAAATATGGCCTTGGTGATAGAAATGATGCAGGGGATCGCATGATAGAATTTTGCATGACCAACGACTTCATTGCAAATGCCTTTCTTAAACACCATAAAAATAGCTATACAAATAGACCTGACCAGGTGGAATGCACAGAAATCAAATTGACTACATCTGTGGGAAGAGATAGTGGAAAGACTCCATATCATCAGCCGAAACAAGGACAGGAGCAGACTGTGGAACAGATCATCAAGTGCTAGTAGGCAAATTCAGGCTGAAGCTGAAGAAAATGAAAACAAGTAAATAAGAGCCCAAATATGACCTTGAACATCTCTCACCTGAATTTAGAGATCATCTCAAAAGCAGATTTGATGAATTA